CTCCAGCGCTGCCCACACCTCTCAGCAGTGTCTCAGGCCCTCTCAGCTGCCTAGGCCAGATCCTCTCAACCCCACTGTCTTCTGGGTTCACATTCCGCTCTTATTTACTTCACTGGTCCCTTTGCTGTGCTCCTAATTTGCTTAATTAAAGATGTGGTAGATTTCAAGTCACAAAAAACTTTAAAATGGGTAGAAAATAACCCCTGGTAGTTGAAAGGGTCTAATTAAGGAAAATGCTAGGTCAATCAGAGGTTTTTCTGAATCGGGTCAGCTAGAACTGATCCCTCAAGACCAAGCAGACAAGGGTTGATTTTTTTCGCCAGGAGGTCCTCGAGTTAATGCAGCTTCGCATATTTGCCCACCCACCCCACCAGCAATGGGCTTCGTTCCTGAATCGCACTCTTCTTCCCTCCCAGCAACAGGAGCAGGACCCTACTAACCTGTACATCTCCAACCTGCCGCTGTCCATGGATGAGCAGGAACTGGAGGCCATGCTGAAGCCCTTCGGCCAGGTGATCTCCACGCGCATCCTCCGCGACGCCAACGGGACCAGCCGCGGCGTGGGCTTCGCCAGGTACGCCCCTCGGCCCTCTCCTCCTCCTGCTTGCTCATCAGACAGACAGAGATTAGAGAAACATTCTTCCCGAAATTCAGAAATCTAATCCCAGAGTTCCCACACCTGCCAAAACCACAACAGGTCCCAATCCTACTGGGAGAGGGAGGAGGGAACTCAGTTGATCTGGCAGCCCAGTATGTGATCTCCTGTCACAGCCTGAGGAACAGTGAGTCCGTCTCCCAATAATGCTCCAGCCGCCTACAGCATATGTCAATATTATATAATATGTCTTTGTTGTAAATGTCTGTAACATGTCTGTAGATTTTATTTTACTTCTATTTTTGTTTTGTTCTATGTTAATTTTATTATTTTTATTTGCTTTGGCAACACTGATTGTACCCATCGGTCATGCTAATAAAGCACCTTGAATTGAATTGAATTGAATTGAATAGAGAGAGGCACCTCCGACTCCAATATTGATGCATGCCTCAAGAACCGGGGGAGCTCTGTTGTAGGTGGGGTCAGGGAGAGGGGATCTCTCCAATCAGTGCAAATTGAGTACCCTAAATCCAGCTACCTCTCTCCTCATGCTCCCTGACACCTAGCCCTGTACATCACGCTCACATGACACAGGAACAGCTCTGCTGGAAGAGCTGCAGTTTGCTGGAGCAAGAAGAGGAAACAACAGGCACAACCCAAATGCAGACCTCCGTTCTCTACACAATTTGGGCACAGCACACATTTGTTGTACTTAAGCCCTGAGATCTCCACAGTTATCAGATTTACTTAATTGCATGGGTGCCTTTTCACAACAAAAAAGATAAGCATCTGATTTCAGGGAATGCATGTAGTTTTCTCTTGCTCTTTTGCTTACTGAAAACCCCTCCCTCTGCCTTCATATTTTATGTTTCCGATAGATAACAATGCATACTTTTGCAAATTTAAAATTAAATAGTTTAAAAGCAATGGGAAAACGTTCGAAAACAAATCACAAATAACCAAGGTATTCTATTCTGTAAAAACGTAAAAAAGAAACTGAACTACTGATGATGAATAGGAAATATTTACAATAGCTGCTGAGCAGTTCCAGGTGAAGACCGTGAATTGGAAGCAACTTCCGCCCTCTTGTGGTAAAAACTGGTAGCACACTATCGTGCGGCACAAACCTGACGGATTCGTATCTGGTTCTTATTTTTCAGAATGGAGTCAACAGAGAAATGTGAAGCCATCATTCAGCATTTCAACGGAAAATACATCAAAACTCCCCCAGGTGTACCAGGCAAGACAGATTTCACCTTAATACTTTCTGATTCCACCTTTTAAACGAATCATAACACCTAGTGAAACTTGTTCAAGTTGCTTCAGTTCTAAAGGCTATCAGCTAATTAAGAATTTGTCCTGCCAATTTTCAGTCTTTCATTTTTTGTCATAGTATTAGTATTCACAACTTATGCCTACAAAGCATATTGCTGTATTCATTAATTTTAGTGCACAGATCCTTGGCAATGCCAAAGCTATATTTAGGCTTTGTAGATACGAACGATAATATTTTTGCTGTGCACAAAGTACCATAATAAAACTCCATCCTTATTAACTAAAAGTGTACAACAATTCAGGGTGTTATTCACCTTTTGAAATTAGTATGACAGCCATTATAAAGCAAAATATAACATGCATATATTATATATTATTTTCTGAAAATGTGAGAATTCAAAAACCTCCCTTTTTTTGCCAGAGTAAACAGACACCTGCGTGCACACTCAAGTTAAACAGCGAGCTCATCAACAAATAGTGCTTGGCACAGAGGAGCTTCCCAGCGCTCTGGTCAGACTGAGCAATAGCAACTGGTGTCAACGCAACTTGAATACAAAAACCTTTGAAAGGGCTTTGTTGGGGCCCTTTGCACACAGAAGAAATAAAAAATCAAATCCCACCGAACCCAGATATACTGGCCTCTTTATGATCCACCTTCAGACAGCTTCTTGAGGAAACTGCCCGATTTATGCTAAGCGATGGCCACATGAGCCCCGTCCCCCACCGTGGTCTGAGCCTCTCCCTGCCTGCTCCTCCACAGTGCCCACCGAACCCCTGCTGTGCAAGTTTGCGGACGGGGGGCAGAAAAAGAGGCAGAACCAGGGGAAGTACCTGCCGAACGGACGGCCGTGGCCCAGGGATGGGGAAACGGTGAGACCGGCGTGACGAGCGCGTGTTCCCGCGGGGCCGAACGCTTGAACTGCGGCGGCGCTCGGCGCTGCCTGGGGCGCGATCTCCGCCTCGCGGGCGGCCGTGATCGAACCCCTGGCGGGCGGCAGGCCAGAGCAGAGCTGGTCTCGGTGCCCCTTGCCCATGTATCTCTCGTCGAAACGATCTATTACCATGCGAGGAAGAGTCTGGGGCATGCTAGCTGCTTCGGGAAAGGGAAAAGGCCTCGGGGGCCGTCCCGTCCACCCTTGCATGGAGGGGCTCACGCGTGTCTTTTTCTACCTGCAGGGAGGGATGACGCTAACGTATGACCCTACAACAGCCTTACAGAACGGGTGAGTCAGAGAACTCCAGGTTCCACCGTCCTCCCACTGTGGCCTCGCACTGACTCAGAATGTCATGAGCACGTCTTGGTGAAACGACAGAAAGGCTGGGCTTATTAACCCGGACCAAACGCTCTTTTAACAAATCTATAGGTGGAAAGGTCAGGTCTGTCAGTCGCAGTCGCCGAGATTCAATGTGTAGGGAGATGGAGAAAAACGGTGGTTGTTCATGTGGAATGACTTTTAAAGAAATCCGGTAATAACTGCTGCACACTGGCGAGTGACAGCCCAGACTCCCGGACGGGATTTAGCGTGGACCGATGGTGCCGCTGACCGCAGTGGCAGAAAAACCACAGCGATTGCCAACTCGGCTTCCCTCCCCGCCTGTCCGCAGGTTCTACTCGTCCCCGTACAGCATCGCCCCGAACCGAATGATCGCTCAGGCATCCATCTCGCCGTACATCCATTCCCCCGTGTCGTCCTACCAGGTCAGTGCCGCCGGCCGACACACTGCATGCCAACGTGCACCAGCTCGTCTCTGCTGCGCTTATTCTTATGCCCTTGTAAAGGGGGGGAGGGTAACATTCGAGATCTTTATAAGGGACACTGAGGTCAAATGCCACGTGCAGCAATTCTCATTGTATCGTCTTTATAACGTGGTACAGAAATAGTCCTCCCACGTGTTCCTCTAGGAGGAAAAGTCCTATATCTATGCCAGGTACTAAATGTATTGTATTGCAGTACCCTGGTGTTGTAGTGGAAATGCACTGCAGCATGTTGCACTGTGCTGTCCTCTACCGTATTGGTTAATCTGTCTCTTCTCCAGGTACACAGTCCCTCCTGGATGCATCACCAGTCGTACCTCATGCAGCCTGCCGTGAGTATCAGAACACTACGCAGACACAGCTGCAGCTTATGCATCCTGCCAGCAGAGGACATGTTATTAGCTGACTATGGGTGGAATTTCACAAGTAGAGGAGCACACATAAAATTTGAGGTAGCCAGCCAGGGCTCTCTAAGCTCACAGTGCCCCCTGTAGCCCCCAGTGCAACTGCGGTCACGTAGAGCTGTCAGCGAAGGACACACCTCTCCTCCAATCAGCATTGACCCTCTGGAATTTGGTGGTACTGCCTAAGAGAGATGTGCCTCTCTTCCAATCAGAGCTTATCCTCTGCTGAGAGGCGGTGCCACCTGTGAGGGACATGCATCTCCACAATTCAGCACTGACCCTCTGGAATGAGGCAGTACTGCCTGTGAGGGACACACCTCTCCTCCAATCAGCACTGACCCTCCAATATGGGGGCAGTGCTGCCTGTGATGTGTTAGAAGATATGGTGGGGATGTAGAAGAGGTGGATGCTGCACATTGGTGGTGGTGGAGGGGAGTCCCCATTACCTATAAAGTGCTTTGAGTGGAGTGTCCAGAACAGCACTAAATAGGTGTAAGGAATTATTATATTTAATTAGAAGACGAGCGGCTGGAAGGTGGGCGAGACAGAGGACTCTGCCTGCACTTCCTCAGCCTCCTCCATGTGTAGAAGTGGCTTTGTATCCGTGAGCCAAGAAAAGAAAAACTCATAGTTGGCTGTTCTACAATGCATGGAGTGTAACAACTATCATTGTCCATTCTGAGAAAAAGACGGCAACTCTGCACCCTGCTGCGGGCTCGCTCTGCGCAGTGCTTCAGGAATGTTAGCCTGTGTGCACAGGGCTGTTTCATGCTTGCTCTGCATTTGTCTACTCAGGGGACGGTCCTGACCCCCACCATGGACCACACCATGTCCATCCAGCCCACATCCATGATGGGGCCCATCACCCAGCAGCTCAGCCACCTCTCCCTTGGCAACGCTGGCACGGTGAGTCCCTGGACAGCAACGCACAGCTCACGTGCTTTGGGAAAGAGGTCATTTACACTTCCTGCTCCAAGAGATACTGCCCCCATCAGCAAACCTGCTGATCCTTTACCCATTTCTCTCATTTCTCTCTCACTGCATTTCAGCAGACCGCAATTGCTGGCTCTCTGGATAAGTGAACACAAAGCAAACTGCTAAGAGCCTGAGCTTTCTATGACAGATTTTTCAGGACTTCTGAGGGAAATAACAGGGATATCAGCGAGTGTGTGTGTCCCCCGTGACCCTGAACTGGATAAAGCAGTTAGAAAATGGATGGAGGGAGTGGAATATCAAACACTGTGTTGCCCCTTTACAGCATACAAGTAGTGCTGCTGGGGGGACAGTATCGTAACAAATACTAATCCCGCATCGACAAGACGATTATCCTTCCGCTGACTCGGCTCTGATCGGGACCGAGGCCAGGCGAGAGAAAAGACCAGCCTGCAGCAGGATCCACACTAACACCATCTCCTTTTATCTCACAGTACATGCCTGCTAACGCAACTATGCAAGGAACCTACATCCCACAGTACACCCCTGTGCCTGCTTCCAGCGTCTCTGTAGAGGTGAGATCCAGCGGACTTGCCCATTCGCTTTCAGTGAACAAGTCTTCCCACCCACAATGCTAACACAAAAGGCAGTTTTACCTTTTACCTAGAGAGGTGCTTTCAACAGTTAACCCAAATTCCCACTGCACACTGTTTGCCCCATCTGGGGCTTTAGAAACTCCTGGGGCTGTTCTATAAATTATAAAGTTAACCAACATTTAATTTGAGCTTTGTTCCATGTGCCTGTCTGTGCAAATCTGGGCAGCATGATTGTGGAAGTCTAAACGTAGCTGAATAGCTTAAGTCAAGCATATCTTAACCTGACAGGAGTCAAAATGCTGTACAGTAAGATTGTTTCTCAGTGTTAATTAGCACATAAGTGCGATACTCGTAAACCAGTAAGGTTCATGCCTTTAACACTGAAGGCTGGTAATGTAACACGCTGACTGACAGCACATGGTTTGCTGTATATAACCTGTAAACCACTCACAGGTTTAGTAGAATACAGTATTCCTAGTAGCAGCACAGAACCCTTACAGTCCAGGATGATATGGTGTTTTGCATCTCATGTGCAAGGTGTGGTCGCAGTGCCAGAATCATTTGTTTTCAATCCCTGTCTTTGCAGGAAAATAGCAGTCAGCAGCAACAGGTTGCCATAGAAACGCCCTCAGAACACACAACCTACTCCTACCAGCACAGCAAGTGAAGCAGAGGTGCGTAGCTCTGGCACCAGCGCCGCATGTGTTTTCATGGCCGATCCAACGAGGTGTTGTGGCAGGTGTGGGGTGGAGCAGCCTGATTCAGTAAAGCAAAGACTCCACAAATCCTGGGAGTTGCCCTCCCTGCGGATCGCATTAATCCGTCCATATCGTTTTAGAGAGCCGGAGGCAAACAAAACAGCTAGCCATGCCGAAGTATCCCAAGATTGTAAAGATAAAAACTTTTGTGCCCGAGTTCCTGTCACGAACACTGTAGGCTCACAATAAATAAAAGCCCCATACTGTGCATATTACACCACTGCACTGAACATCCTGATTACATTGTGGAAACGACCACCCCACGACACAGTGTTGAAATCATTAATCTGAACCCAGAAGCGTAGAGCACGAAGCAGGATTGTGCCATACATGGCACACTAATCAATCGCAGAGCACATTCACACAAGCACAGAGACAGTTTGGAGCCACTGATAAACCTAGCCAACATATATTTGCAAAGGTTCGAATGGGGAGCTGCGTCAGCATGCGCAGCATGCGCAGGCTTCAAAAGAGCAGGTGCTGAAAGGTAAGGAAAGGTAACACTATGTCGTTTCGGCTGTGGAACACCTTTACCTGGTCCTATATGCTTGCAAAGCAGAGGGACACTAGAGCGCCCAGGGAAAACCCACAAAACCCAGAAGGAACATGCAAAACGGACACAGAGGGTACCCCATTCTGAAACTGAGCCCACAACCCAAGAACTACAAGGTAGAAACACTAACATGCCAATGTCCTTCCTGAACAGAACCAAACTGCTGGATTTTAACAACATTAAATGTATTTTGGCCCCTCTTTCATGAACCACATGGACAGGCTTCCACACCATGCATCATAGAGCTCAGGAATGTCATTAGTCTTCCTTGCTGTACCTTTGTTGGCTCAGGTGTGCATTCCTTCAATATCAAACATCACTCCCATTGCATAGCAGTCTGAGCCCTTACAGCTTTCTGGAGTGCCAAGGCCCTGTACGACTGGTACTACTGAAGCAAAAATAAAAGTTTTAACAGCATTTAATATGAACTAGAACTAAAACATCACCTTTCTCTCAAGTGATCAACGGGTTGCTAGCAAACGAAACAAGGGAGATAGGCACTTGTCTACGCAAAGAGTGGTGGGAGAGTAGAACAAGCTACTTGGCCATATTGTCAAAGCCGATACCCAGGCTTCTTTCAAGAAACAGCTGGATGAGATCCTCCCATCAGGAAAGGAGAATAGACTTTACAGAAAGGGCTGTGGGATTGTAGAACCAGCTACCCAGCCATGCCGTTAAAACCGATATCCTGGTTTCTTTCAAGACCCGCTAAATGCCTAACAGGCTGGATGGGCCACATGGCCTGCTCCTCAGATTTCTGACCCAGGCTTGGACTTGCGACACCTGGATGATCTGTGTTTTGAGAAAACTTGCTGCTTGAGCCAACAAACACGATCCCCTGTATTGCTTCTTACAGGTATGTCCTGTTTTCTCTCTCTCCCCTCAGTTCTTCATTTGGCAAGTCGGCATATTTAAGACCAGACAAGGTGCAACTCCTCTGGAAGGCTGGGTTACAGCTCCACAAAAGGATTCTACGGACACTCACCACCAGATTCCAGACAGAAGATAAAAAGGAACAGGTTTCTTTTAAAAAGAAAACTATTTTATTTCGTCACAGACTTTTCTTCAGAGTCAAGCTACCAAAGGAGGCAGAGGATTTCTTGCAAAGGAGATATCTATTTTGCTAAAAGGAAAAAAAAAATAGAAAAAATCAAAACCATAAGGAAAAAAGAGAACAGATGTAAAGCATTATTTTTGTGCACGTAATATAACAAAATCTTATTTTTAAAAAAAACATTCTGGAGATCCAGAACGAGCAAGGAGAAGCAAAGTTAAAACACAACGTGTCTTTTTCAAACGTTTTTCTGTTGGGTTTTCTTTTGTAAAATATGCAATCTTATTTTTTTTAATTGTTTTTTTTTTTACGTTTCACTAGCTGCAGTTAAGATGGTTTTGTACAGATTCTGAACTCATGATCGATGCATTTGTCAGATTTTACGATGTTGTAGATTAAATATTTTTTTTATTGTGCATAAAAAAGAACCGAAAATAAGTAAGCAGCTTAAAATTACTTCTTAATAATCTGTTCCCAATGGCATAACAGAGGAGTCAGCAACCAATGTTTAATGATACATCAGAGAAATCGGAAAATATAGTATCTGCTGAAAGCTAATACAGATGTGTTAGAGTATAATAGGGTTGTTAATCTAAAATGACAATTTAAGTCTCTTAACTAAGACTAAACACCAGTCATGCATTTGAAACTTCCTTCAGTTACAAAACCAAATTCCCTCAAAGGTGTCAAGGCACACCTTTCTAAAAAGCAAAGGACAATCAAATGTATTTAAAGTATTTATATTTTGGGGATAGTTTTTTTTTATATAGTTTAACATAAGAAATTCAAACATCAAAGAATTACAAATTATTTAACAGTGTTTAGTCTATTTAACAAAGTATTTATACGGGAACAACAGGCCTGATATGCGTCAGCTCTCCAACTCTCCAACAGAAGTGACTTCTTCCAGAACTTAATTCAGGATTGCTACTCGGAATTCAAGTGCTCGCCCCTGTGCTGCTGCCAGCCAAGCAGATGTCAATATGTTCTTTTACAGGGATGCCCAATCCCGGTGGCACAGACCCCAACCTGCTGGTTTCAGCTTCATCTGAACACCCATTTAAATAATCGAACCCTTAATGCTCCTGATGGTAATGGGGGGTTACTCTGAACTCTTTCGTTTTCAGTTCCTAAACACGTTGGAGGTTGTATAAGTGGCATAAAATCCTCAGCCTTGGGAGTACAGAAAAACATGAAACAAGGTTTAATCGAGCAGCTTGTGGATTCAATTAAGGATTTAAGCTGCACAGAAAACCAGCAGTTGCAGGAGTCCCCGGGACCAAAACTGGGGAGCCCTGGTCTAGAAAAATATTAAGTCAGGCCTAGTTATTAGACCTGACTAGTTTCTACTATTAGAGGTGTTGTACTAGCCAACACAAAACGGGATTTTGGAGCATTTGACAACTGCAAAATAGAAACTAGCAAACCCGGATCTTTAAACAAAAGTACGAGACAGAAAATGCAAACTCATCTGCTAATAGGCAAAATTCATTCTTTAGTGCAAGAAACCTGTTCTTTTGTGAACAGGGTCTCGCAGGACAAAAACAGCACTTTGAAAGGCACCGAGTTGCCTGTAGACACCCACCTGGAGAGGACACTGAGCACTCTGTGACCCAGATATTATTAGGCAAACAGGACTAGAAATCCCAGGCCTGGGATTTGTTGGCCAGGACTTTCTGGGTTTCAAATAAAAACATCTTGTGGCAGCCTGGCAGTCACAGCAGCGAAGCCGCATGGCTCCTCTAATCGGTACTAGTTCTCCCGTCCGGTGGCGTGCAAGAGAGAGTGGAGCTGCCAGAGGGTGCCGGGGGAGCGCACGTCCGCGGTCCCGCATTCTCTCCCAGTCAGGTCACACCGGCTGCTGGAGCAGAGGCTTAGGACACGGCGGCCACAGCCAGGCTGGGCTTTCATTACTAAACACAAGACGAGCTGTGCAACGAGGAGTCGCGTCCCGTGCCAACTTAAAAATGGCGAACGATTTCTGAAAAAAGTTCAGTCGAGGGTTACGGTTCTTATTTTCAGTCAAATACAAGCAAGCTCAACGCATGTATGTGCGCGGGGCGACCCTCACCGATAGTCCAGTGGGACCAGATTCCTGAGAAGTGATTTCAAGCAGCTTGTTCAAGTTAGAATTCAAGATCGCTAATGTGAATTTTCACTTGCGTGGATGGAAACCGGCTAGGGGGAGGGGGCGGGGGGTATACAAAAGAGCGTTGTTTCCTAGTAGGAATAATGAAAAAATATTAGCAGATTTTTTAAATTGCTTCAAGGGCTTCGTGCCCTCCAGTGCTTTGATTTAGAATGGGAGTAGCAGTGGGTCTCTCTAGGTCTTGCTTTCACGATGCTGCTGTTTTCCTTTTTGAGTGTTTTTATTCGCCTTTTTCAGTGACCTTTTTTTTTTAGAAAGAAATGATTTTTTTTTTCCTTTCTTGGCTTTCAATTCACTTGAATTTTTTTTTTTAGATTTTGTTCTATTGTGTTATTGTTGTTGTTGTTGAAAAAGGATTTTTTTAAGTAAGTTTCTTTTAAATAGTTTAGATCTTTTGTAGGTAAAGAAACATTTTTAGGATAATAGCTTTTACTTTTTTAGATTCATAGGATATTTTTGTGTTTAGATTTGAGTCTGTGAGTTTGTACGCAGTCAATGCAAGCTGCATATTTTTTATTTTGTTTGTGTGCATTGTTACAGTTTGTTTTTATGCGATGACTGTTGTTGGAAAAGTATCGTCAGAAGGGCCACTTTCCAGGTCAGGGTGATTTGCAGTGTATGTACCAGTTCCAGAACACACTATCTGGCTCCAGCTAGGAGACAATCCATGTGTCCAAACTACAGTTCCTTCCTTTAACAACCTTCTATCCAGGCTTGAAAAACTCACTGCTTAACCTTGCATGAGGCGCTTCTTTTAAAGAAGGTATTGTTTCATAAGGTATTGGGGAAAAAACAGAAGATATTATCCACTTGAAGGCAGCACAGTGGTGAGCATTGCTTCCTCACAGCGCTGGGGCCCTGGGTTCAATTCCAGACCTGGGGTGCTGTCTGCGTGGAGTTTGCATGTTTTCCCTGCGTTTATGTGGGTTTTCTCTGGGTGCTCTGGTTTCCTCCCAGAACATGAGTGGATGATTGGATTATACTTCAGCCCATGAGGTTGCATTGTTGCGCTGTGGGGAGAACACCAACGAAGTTTTAGCCAGTGTGCAATTTAAAACCGGGCAGAGACGCGAAGAACCGCAAAGGCCACTGGACTAGTCCCTGGCTGAGACGTCAAATCCACACAAAAAAACACACACACAGAATAAAACAAACAGTGCAAATCACCCTTCCGTCTGTGGCCTGCATACGCAAGCGATATACAGAGTCCGGACTTCTTTGAACTAAGTTATGTTAAGAATAAAGAAGAAATAATGAAAAGTTAATATATTTCCAAATCAAGTATAGCTGATCTTATTTCTGTCTCTCAAGCCAGTATGCAGTCTGCAGCTTGGGCGAGCTCTGATGCATGGGCTTTTTCACCAGGAAAAAGTGTAACACTAAATAATGGCAAGCACACGGGTAAACTATACAAAAGATGCCGTGACAAAACAAAATCTGGCGCTCAATCAGCAGTTAACGCATTCTTTTCCGTTTTAGTGTTGGGTGCTGCGATTCGTTATTGCAACGCTAGAACCTCCACAGAATGCAGGATCTCATCTTTTGTTCTCGATAGTAGGATACAGGGAAGTTGTATTTTTGTCGTTCTTCCGTCCAGAACTCTTGCCTACAAAAAAAAGAACTTCCTTTTTGTTTTGTTTCAGAAAAAGCTCTTGCTGGGATTGTGCAATCCTGTTGACAATCTATGCATCTAAGACTGCAGAATGAGAATTTCTCAATCAGAATGAAACCGGCGCGAATCGCCGGTTATTTTAGACTTTTTTTAACATGATGTAGTGACTCTGTATATCACTTTCCAAGGGAGAAGACAGGCATGGGCTAATACTGTATCTCCTTCAGTAGGACTGCGAAAGGTCTTCTAAGCTATTTATGTACTTGATCAAAGTCCTAGACAGCATCTTTCTTTGATTTCAGAATGAGTGTTAGTAGACGTTTTGATCACTCTAAATTCCATATGCAAGAAGGCCCAAATTAAACTTTCATTTGAAAAAATGAAATTCTCTCAATGGCAATATGTCACATCCATAACCCACTTAGAGAATAACTGTTTTTAGCTCTATACACCAATGGAAAAAAAGCACTACAAACAGCAGGATTCACCTGGCTGGGAAACCTGCAGGAAACTAAACCCAACTGGCTGACAAAGTGTGTGCCAGCTTTTGTCTTCCCAAAGCTGAAACACTTCCAAAAGCAAAAGCAAGACCTTTGGAGGGGATGCAGCTCAATCCTGTCCCTATGAGTCTTCCATTTGATCTCTCTTTTTCTTTCTTTCCTCAGAAATGTTTTTTTTTTAATTTGCTACCAAAGACACAGAAGTCCTCCACCAGTCAGGAAGCTTTATTTGTCCAAATATTCTTGCAGGAAAGAAATGAAAGGGAAGGCTGAACTCTCACCTTCAGTAAATCCTGTTTGTGCTCTCTGTTATTATGAGGTATATTCGGTGAGATTTTAAGTGCTTGGAGGATATTCCTCAGGCCCACAGCCACCAGTGTTCTCCCTGCTGCTTGCCCGTCAACATGAGATGGTGGTCAACCAAAGCTCATAAAAAACCAAAAGGTGCTGTTTCTTGAAAAGAAAACAGGGGTCAAGAAACCTCCTTGTAAAAGAATCAAGCATTAGGAAAAGTGTAGTATTCCTGTTTTTACAGCATTCGAGTCCGTCAGGCCAGACTGAAACGAGAGAGCTCCAGAATCAAAACTGGAATGAGAGGAAAGCCAACTGTCACTGAAGTGAGATTTCAGCCTTTTACTCCCAAAGTTTCTCTGGAACACATTGGGGCTCCCTTTTTCATTTGTCTAGACCATGGGTTTTCAAAGTGGGGGCTGGGTACCCCCCGATTGGGTCCCCAAAATCAAACATCACTTTCACAACCAGTTTAGCTGTGTGTGAAATGGACACTCCCACACAGTGGAGGTGCTGATCCCAAGCACAGCTGCATTTGTAAGAGTATATAAGATGTTTCTACGATGGGTTTCATGTTTAATTTGGGGATCCTTACTGGGACAGATGTCTTGACAATGGGTCCTTTCAGGCATGAAAGGTTGAAAACTCCTGGTCTGAGCAATAGTTTCCTTGATTCTTTTCTGATGTTGCTGTTACTGTTTATGCTCAGATAATCCATTATTGTCACAGGTTCTCGGACAATGGCACACCTCATGAAGGAAAGAGTGCGCATCAGACGTTATTCTTTAGAACACAAAAAAAATCAGCCACTACATAAAGAATGAAAACATTTATATGGTTTTGAAACTATGAAATCACCAACTGTTACTGATTTCCACCCTAGTAGAAGAATTGGGTTTTTTCTCCTCCTTTCTGTTCTCACTTCAGCAACCTACTAGGCAACAGAGGTGTCAGTTGCTACACTCTCTGATGCAGACAGGAGTCAATATTTTCAAGAACATATCAAACCCTAATCATTCTTAGCGACATATTGGAAAAAACTGAACTGCATCGGCAGGGGAAAGGGTACTGCTGTCCAAATTTAGACAGGATGCAGTAAGCCATTGGACTGCCTCAGAATCTACAGGACATCCAATCAGAAGGAGGCTGTAGTCTTGTAGCCAATCAGACAGAAGGCAGGAAGAAAGATGTCATATGAGGCAACCAATCAGATCTGTCACACCAGCCACCAATTGGCTGCAGTGCAATATGTGCAATTTTGTTTTTACTCCAAGAAGAATTTTAAAAATTAAATTGTCAGTTTAATTGATATGGAAACCTTGTGCTTTTTTGTTGCCTCCACACCTGTGAAACAGGTGGTAAGACTAGTTTCTGTTATGCTGATGTAGCTCCTTAGGTGCATTTCATAGTTTTAAAATGTTTTGCTGCTGCTAAGGATGTAAAAGCAGTTTGTGAGGTGCAGGTCCTGCTGGTTGTATTAAAAAAGGTTAAAAAAAAGGCTCATTTAGGAAACCTGGGGGCTGAATAGTTTGCCAAGTAAAAATTCTGAAAGTTGTGAAAGTTCAGTTTTTTTAGCTTTACAAATGCAGAGAAATGCCAAAAAAATTACATGAGCTTGGCGTCCCTGCTTTTATAGTGTTAACACTTGTATCGTTATCAAGAAGTTACTCAGCTGCAATGTCACGTTGTGTATTTCACTTTGTATGTGGTTCCAATACAAAAGGCAAAGAGACTGTTCCTATGTGCAGTTGTTCTGGCTGCTTGGTTGCCAGACCCAGTGATTACTATGAACTCCGCTCAACAGTTTTGAGATGTGGTTACCTGTCTGCAGTCCCCCCACAGTGCTGTTTTCACAATATAGATTCCAAGTTGAATGTCTTGAATGCAATATTCTGCATGCACTGTGTTGTGTGAACAGGATATCCCAGGGGTGCCACCCCTAATTGCAAAGTAAGTTCTGCACGTGAGCGAAGGTAATCGCATTGCACCTTGCTATGAACCCTCTCCATCTGCTCCTTGGAAAATTCCACAGTGGCGCATGCAGCAGTGTGATGGAGGGGTGTGTTCAAGACAGCCGTGGCTCTCCTGGCTGAAAAAAGTGCCTCCTGTTTCCTAGGGTTTCCGCTCGATCCCCGTTCTCCCCTGTAGGAACTTCATATGAACCCCACGATGGGCCCTCTGGGGTCGACTCTTGCTCATGTTGTGAAATCTTGCGACTCCAAAAGCTTGAGTCACATCCACCTTCAGATTTCCTCCTGGAGCACTCAGGGCGGAGCGGTGGGTCTGTGGCTAAGGATCTGCGCCTGTGGCTGGAAGGTTGCAGGTTCAAATCCCGCGGCCGGCAGAGGAATCCTACTCCGTTGGGCCACTGAGCAAGGTCCTTAACCCCAGCTTCTCCAGGGGTGCCATATAAATGGCTGACCCTGCACTCTGACCCCAAGCTTCTCTCCCTGTCTGTGTGTCTCATGGAGAGCAAGCTGAGGTCTGTGGAAAAAGACAAATTCCTAATGCAAGAAATTGTATAGGGCTTATAAAGTGATCTTATCTCTTATCTAAGGTAGTAGGTAGAAAGGTCCTGTCGCGCACAAGGTAGTTTCTCTGAGCTGCAAAGATGCTCAGGCCCGGTCTCTTCCGGTTACGTTCCATTGCATTTCTCTCCGAGCGCTGAACCAATCAGGCCTTATGGATGTCCAACTGTTTTTTAGATATTTTCTTTAGAATGAGGTTTTTGGCATGCATTCATCTTAAGCAGCCCTCAGGAGAGGACAACAGTGTTGCTCATAATCACCAAAATGAAATGCGCGTAGCCAAGATCAGTTTTATTTGTAGTCTAATCTTCTTACACAGTCGAGGTGCTGATTCCCAGCACAGCTGGGATTTTAAGAGGATATAATTTTACGATGTGACCATGAGGGGTTTTACATTTAATTTTCGGATCCTTATTCGGACAGATGTCGTGACCCCTTATTAAGTAAAGATCCCTTAAACCCCCCCATGGGGGAAAAAAATAATCCGTTGTCAACTATTACCAATACATTTGCCGGTTTGCTTTTAGGAAAGGCATTGTAAACTTCCACAGAGTCTCTTGCACATTACAGCCCAAGCACCAGGGAGGGGGATTTCAGCCAGCATGTAACCACTCCTCAAACGACTGAAACTGGGAACGAACGAACAACCTGCACATTAAACACATGTAGTGCCTTTCTCTGCAGGCCCTAGAGGTGATCTGCAGCTTGTATGACGTCACAGTGTGGAAGAGGTGGGGAGCTGCGAGATACGGGATTCTTTAAAGCCCACAGCTCAGGGGACATGGAACTGCTATTTGAAATTTCTCTCATAACGTTTTTATTTGTGATGTTTTATGTTCAAGCCACACAAAAGAACCCCACTCTAGACACCTCATTAGAAAGGATGAAGAATTCGGTAAAGGATTCTGAATTTAGTTGTAGGGCGGCCAGGTATTCTTTAAGGAATATCAGACGATTCATCCTAATATTTCCAAGCATCTAGCAACCATAACCAAATGCATGGAAACTTCTTGACAGTTTAATTAAATAGCAGAAACTGTTTCCCTTCAAAGAGAAGTTGGAGACCAAATTATATTCCAGCCCAAAACTAAGAGTATATCAATGAGCATTTAATAACCATGTTTCTTTGGGGAAAAAAATAAAAATTAGTTTGGAAACAATTCAGTTTTACTCAAACTAAAAAGGAAAGACGATTTGCCTGCAATCTACACAGTACATTTTGCCAAACACACAATTCTCCTTCAGGTTTCAACAATAAAACAACTGGCTCATCTATCACAATACAGCTGCTTTTAAACCGTTTTTTTTTATTTATACAAAAACTCACTTTGTACAAAAATGTTAAGGAGAAAATGTCTTCAGTTTTGTATGTTACATTTTTCGTCATTGTGCCATAAAAAAAGACTTGCTGGTTTCTTTGTTATTCTTTTAGTTCTTAGACATGAAAAAAATCACAGCTTGTTTTCCTTCTTTCGGTTTGACTATGAATTTGATATGTCAATTTTGATTTTTTTGAATAAAAAAATGTTTTTGTGCATGTTTACGGTTTCTTACATTTCAAGAAATTTAATAATTAATAATTAACTGCATTTATGTAGTACCTTTCATCCCAAAGGCTCCCACAGTACTTCACATTCATGAAGAACACATTTCATCCAGCAGCCCTACCTGGGAGACACACAGA